TTGGACGGAGAAGCAGGCAGGAAAAGGCAGTGTGGAAATATCATTGGCTCTCTTTAACTATTTGAAATAAGCTGATTTTTAGGGCTGTTCTGTACTAAGGTTGTTTAGTGCTGGTTGTGTTTCTCAAAATAAAAATAATATTGACCTGAAAACACTGACTCATTTTTTGGAAACACATAAAACATCAATCAGTGATATAGGTAAGGTAAGAGCACTTGGAGAAGATTGGCCGCTTATTGATAATAAGAAGCTAAGTGGAGTCTATCAGGACATCCAATCAATTAGTGAACTGAAGAGAATGGAAATATGCTACCGGACATCAGAAAAAATTGAACACTTCTGAAAAAAGGAAAGTTTTACAAAAACATTGTGTTGGTAAGAGGCTTAAAAAACTACAAGTATGAAGGAAAAAATCTTTTATACTTTGGAAAAAGAAAGGGAAAAAATCTTAAACAAGTGAGGCTAAAAGAATTCCCACTTCCTCATGTTTAACCAAAGGAAAGACAAAATATGTTCACAAACTTTTGAAAAAAATGTTTTTTTGACCCACGTCTTGGTTGACACTTTGATTTATGATGAACCCACTACAGCAGCTACTGGTGAGGAGCAGGAAGTAATGGGTGAAAGTCTGGACGATGAGCGCTGTGACTTCCATATTTAAAAAACTTTAAATGTTTCTTAAATATGGAAACAACAACATTTTACATGTAAAACGACTTATTTCCACTGAGTTCGTGCAAAAGGTCGTATTGCCAAAACATAATCAATTTTTTAAACTATTTTTAGCTACTCAAATTGAAATAAAGGTTTTAATCTCATGTTTGTAACCAATACTATTGCATAACATCGATTGGAACTGATTATCCTTTTTCAGAGCAAAGCTACAAGTTTTTCGCCCTCCCTGAAAAATTACTTATTTGTGACTTAAGCTTGTTTGCATTTTACCTCCATATATAATGAAATTACTAAAATTACTTATGACATAGATCAAAAAAGAAATACTCACATTGGACTAAGTGCAGGGGTAGACATACTTGATTCGGAAGACCTCTGTTGTAAAAGAGATCTCAATTTTGCTATACTTGATGCTAAATCAGCTGCGTCTTCATATTCAGGATCAGGACTGTTTGTTCCAGAAGAGGGTTCTTCCATTGAAATCGAAGGAATTTCCATTTCCCTTTTCTCTTTTTCTGGTTCTATAGACTTTTCCTGAAAATCAAATAAGAGTGTAAATACTTTCATTATAAGTAAATACGCAGAACAGAACAATAATCTTATTTCTACAGCAGTTGTAAACATTCTCACAACTGACGTATTCGAGTAATAGAACATGAATGAATTGGATGTTTTTGTAGTTTTGTGAATATTTATACGCTGTCATGGCAAGTTAAGAATTTATATCCAGAAATATATAGGTTGGAATAAGCACATAATTTTTTCAACAAAAAAAAAATAGTAAGTGATGGCTAAAATAAATATATTCTCCGCGAATTATCGCACAGATATCCTCCTGTGCGATAACTCTTGAAGGGAGAGTCCTCTACTCTAAAATTTGATACACAGTTCCTCTTGGTCTAAAGAACCATACTGAATTTAGGATAATAAGCGTTATTCTTGTCATAATTTTATGCTTTTTATTAATGAAACTTTATAACGTGGTACGTAAATACCTCTTAGTACAAGGTTGGATCTTATTGAATTTTAAGTCATTAGGTCTGGTTAGGTTAGGTATGGTGTTGTGTAGTGTGGCGTGGTCTAGTGTAGTGTAGTAGACTGTAGTGTAGTAGAGTGTAGTGTAGTAGAGTGTAGGGTAGTGTAGTGTAGTGCAATCTTAATATTATGTGTAGATATAATCTGTCAAAATAATTCATTTTAGTATAAATTTTACGGCCATAGCACACTGGCCCTAAACCAGTTGTCGCTCGAAAATAGTTGTCAAGCAGTATCGCAGTGACAAAAAAATTATGGCCACATTAATGAACCAATGTTATAGCAGTTGGCGCCACCTAGTGTCAATGGTAAAAAAAATATCATTTTCATATTAAGCATACTAAATAATAGCACGATACCAAATTTCACTTAAATCGGTTGAATAGTTTTTAATATATCCCTAAAAATAATATAAAAAAATATTATTGAATCACACGATAAGATCCGAATTAAAATAGCATGATCCAAATTCATCAAAATGACATAGCTCTTAAGCAACCGCAACCTAAGCATTAATCTCCGATGGCGCGCCACGAAATGCTACGTACTCTCTACGCTACTTTACGGAGTAGAAGGGTGGACGTTAACAGCAGCAACTATAAAGAAGTTAGCGGCTCTAGAAATGTGGCTGTATCGACGCATACTGAGAATACCTTGGACAGAAAGAGTGACCAACACAGAGGTATTAAGACGAATGGCTAAAGAGGTGGAATTGTTAACAACTGTTAAAAAGAGGAAAGCGTCATACCGTCATACGTGTCATAAGCGTCATACGTCAAAGCGGCCATGTGTTCCGTAATGATAAGTACAGTCTGCTACAGGTTATCGTGGAAGGCAAGATTAAAGGTAGAAGAAATCCTGACTGAGAAACTTGAGACAATGGTTTCAGACACCAGAAGCTGCGAACATAATACATGCGGCACAAAACAGAGAAAACTATCGTTTGATGGTCGCCAACCTTCGGTAGAAGGCGGTACATAAAGAAGAAGAAGAAGAAGAATGAATCACTATGTAGAACGAAAACTAGCAACATTTTGCCTAAGCAATTTGAGCTCAAACGCTTTATTTTGATGTCAGCTATCACCCATTAGCTAATGTCCAAATAATTATGAGACACCCTGTATATCGATACAGTTATGTTTCCGGTTGTAATCTTCTGCCACAAATACTGTGGTATCCACAATACATACCCCAATAGTAGTGTAAGTAGAATAGGACGGGAGGGGATAGTGTTTTGCATGGGCCCATCCGTTCTTAATGGCGGCGGCGCTACTAGTCACGTTAGGTGGGAGGTATAATATAGCGGGAGACGCATGTGCGGTGGCGAAATTTAATTTAGATTGGGACGCCATATTGCAAATTCAGATTTGGTTGTGTTTGGTTTTGGTTATTATCCATCTTAATTGTAAAAATTGTGTTTTACCATCGTTGAAATGGAACAAAATAGAATAAAAGGTAAAAAAATGTTATGTTCATGGTTGCACCGACTACACAAACAGTCGATTTCGATTTCCAAACCCAAAAAATAAACTGGACTTTTTTTTCCTAATGGTTGACATTTATTATGAGGAAAAGATTAAACAATTCTACACCACACTGTTTACAATAATCGTATCCCAAATTTTAGAAGTAGACGATAAAAACAGTATACATCAAATTTTATATATCTAATAGACCTGCTAAAGAATAAGGTACATTACCAAAATTGTATAGTATTTCCAAAGAATATTTTTTGTTGATGGGTGAAAGTTAAAGTTGGACAAATGGCTATTAAACATTCTGAGGATTAGGAGTTTATTTTTACAAGCACCAGGTAAGAACAGCAGCTAATTATACCAAACTTTTAGTAAATACAAACTTGATACTATTTTGTTTTTGTAGTTAATTTACCTTTCAATCTTAACTAATATTAATCTTATATTTATATACTGTATATATTTTAAACTCATTAAAACTCTTAACTCTTATCACTGCATTCCTAAACATTGCCTTATTTTATAAAAAAGTCAATATATTCTTAATTTTAATAATATTTCATTATTTTAGATTTTCATGGATCTTCTACTTCTGAGTAACACGAGAACATTGAGTCACATGCCAATTTGTGATCATTCTGAAGAGCAAGATCTCAGACATGCTAGGGTTTACACTTTATTATCTACATATGGTACTTTAAGGAAAAGTATTTTAGAAGGTATGGAACTTACTACAAACCATTGCTAATAAATATAGAGGTATCTATATTTGTATATCAAAATGACGATCTCACAACATGATGGGAAAATTAAATGAAGATTGGTGGAAAAATCCCTTCATGAAGTTGTTCATCTGGTACAGAATTGCAGCCAATGGAGACAGCAAGTTAACAATATTTAGAGTGTCTCCACGCGCACCTTAACAATGGCTTAAGTAAGGAGGAGGAGGAGGATATTTGTTGCCAATACTTTACCAAAGAAAATTATACAAATAAACAAGTGTCAGGATGTTTGTGTTTTATTTTGTTATTTTTGGGACTTTGGTTTGTTAATGTAATGGAAAACAGATATAGTCATAAAATATTAAATAAAAACTTTCCTGTACCATAATATACACTCTCTCTGTATCAGATATTATGTTATACATTTATATATCTAAAAATGTGTAGGTGTATACTATATTTTTGGACAGAGAGGATATATTTTCTGGCATAGAATAAGTTTTTATTTCTTATTTTATGACTATATTTACTTTCCATTAAAAAACATACTTTTTGAATTTTGGCGCCTAAAATTCAGAGCATATTTTTTGAATTTGCCGCCTAAAATTCTGAATTTACGTTTTGAATTTGCAGCCAAATGAAATTAGTTTCGGCCCGTCCGTATTTGGCGCTAAAAACTCTCTTCCAAAACTTTATATGGGAGTTACCTTACTAGGGGGGTATGTACTATGGTGGTATCATGCATTTCCAAAGCGCACATAAAATAAATAATGCATTTTGATCTTTAAACTATTATAGGTACGATAAGTATACTTTATCAAACTAAAGAATATTATATACCTTTATATCCATTAGAAAAACACTACTGAAATAATGAATAATGAAAACCAAATAATTTTAAGAGGCAAATCAAGGTGTTTCTACTTTAAAAAATCGGAACATTTTTGATATGTTCACAGCGGATTAATCGAGATACTGAACACAAATGAATCGATTGCATTTGACAAATGTATGACAGTTGACTCTAACCTAACCTAACTTTAAAATAAATGAAAACAAGTATACCAAATAATATTTACCATAGTTTAAAAGAATGAATTTTAACGAATTTTGTAGTTTCCTGGAAAAAATAAAACAAACTAGTGCGCCCCGTGAGAAATATAAACTAATCAGAACAGAATTTTTAAAAATCATTGAAAAACAAAAACATGATCCATCTATTAACTTTTTTCAAATTTTTAGACTGATGTTACCCAGTCTAGATCGTGAGCGAGATTCTTATCACATGAAAGAAGCTAAAGTGGCTAGAATTATGGTAAAAATGTTGGATTTGCCAGCAGGAAATGACAAAAATGTTCTTACAAAATCTTATCTAATGGCTGGACAGGCGACTGACTTTGGAGATGTAGTTTATTCCGTCATACGGAAATATTTGTCCAATTGTAAGACGTATTTAACGATACAGAAGCTTAATGAAGGTTTAGATAAATTAACTACTAGAAAAAACGAACAAGAAGCAGAGAATATATTGATGAATTTATTTAAAATGTGTTCACCTGAGCATATTCGATGGATTATTAGGATCATTTTAAAAGATTTAAAATTAGGAGTTGGATCAAATACAATTTTAAACTGTTATCATAAAGATGGAGCTGCATTTTATGCATCAAACAGTAGTTTACGTAAAGTATGTGAGGTTCTTAAAGATGAACATGTTAAATTGCATGAATTAGAGATAGAAATTTTTGAAGCATTTCGACCTATGCTGTCTAAAAAAGTAGATGCTAGCAACTTTAAGAGGCTCTTTCCTGAAAACAAATTATTTTTTATTGAAAATAAATTTGATGGTGAAAGATTTCAATTACACATGGAAGATAATGAATTTCGATATTTCTCAAGAAATGGATTTGATTATACAGAACATTTAGGAAATTCATATAATTCAGGTAAATAAGTAAAACTGTTGAATAAATGACTAAACTAGTTCATTATATCAGCCTAATTGTAAAATCACCTAACTCACTTATTTCTAATTTTACTGAAGACACAAAAAACTTGCTCCTTAAAAAATTTTTTTTAAAAATGTTTTTTTGCAGATTTTTTGAATTGTTTGTAATGTTACAGAATATCTTTAAATAAGATTTAACAGAAATTATGAAATTATGACTTTGGACATAGTAGTAAAGATTGAAGGACTGTAGTAAAACATATTCTTCTTCTGCTTTATCTTTTAATTTTTGTCTCTGAGTTTTTTGTCAAATAGGTTCTAGATAAAGTTTAGTTGAAGATTTACGACAATAGTATGATCCTATTGTTGGTAAAGACAAAAGAAACACTTTTCAGTCAACAGTTAACTGTCCAACCTTTTGTCAAACTATCAAATTTATTATCAAATTTGATATTAATCATCATTGAATTTTTTATCAAATGTATCAAGAAAAGTCTGTCTATAAACCCTCATTTTCTTTTTATCAAAGCTTGGATAAAACTTGTAAGAAAACTTTCTTCTTGATACATTTTCTACCTTTCCAGCTCGTGATCTTGCTGGTAAACCTATTTCTGTTAGTCCTGCTACATAGATTTTTTACTGTTCCAGGTCATATTCCAAAACTTTGTGAACTGTTCTTTTCTGTCAGCTTCTGACAAATGACTACAACTAAAAGTTAGTAACTTACATTTACATTTAATGGGCTTCATTTGTTTGGGAGGTTTCTCTACCACAAATTTTGATTTGCCATCATCACCTTTCTACTGTTCACCCTTCTCTCTTAAAACTTTCTTTCTGCCTCTTCCCCCTTATTGGATTTGGGGTAAAATCAGTTTCATCTTTATTTTCTTCATTGAAGGTGATTTTTTGACTTTACCAGAATCAGAGGAATTACCTGCCTCTTCTACTGATTCCAATTTTATTTCTCTCCCTAAGTCTACTTCAACGTTAATTTGTTCTCGGATAGCCGTTGCTTTCTTCAATAATCTCAGATTATTCTGAGGTTTTATCTCTTTCTGTGTCATGTATTTGAAACCGTGTGTCACGTGGATCATTCCCAAAAACACACATGTCATCAAAGTCATTACCACTAAATAGATGTACTACATTTAACAATATCGGTAAAGTTGCTTTATTTTCTACAATGGTTTCAATTGGTGTCAACTCGCCACCTTTACTTACAATAAATATCGTTGGTTCAGCATTCGAATTGTTAAGATTAATACAAATAACTTGGTCAATGGTATTTAAAGATGTTTCATATATTTCATTTGATATTTCGAAGGTGTTCTTACTCATTTCAGGTAGAACTGGAGAGTCTTCACTAGGCCTACTTGAGTTTAGGGTTTCAGCAAAAGAATATTTTGATATATTTCCTGACGAATCTTCAAGAATGTTATTATTAAAGGTGTTTACAGTTTTTGAAACACAGGAGGTTATTTTTTCAGGATGTTCAACCCTTTGTTGAAGTTTTCATTAGCGGAAGTTTTCCTTCGATAATTGGGTCTGCATTTTTCTGAACAATGTTTTCGTTAGACACATTTTTATTTTCATTTTACTTTTCACCTTTTCAAGCCCTTTCTTTTGATTGTTCATTGCTAGTCGAAGCTTCTCAAAAATCAGGCCTGCTCTCCGTGAAGTAAAATGATAAATATACTGAACACATAACTTCAAAATGAATTGGTGACTTGTACAAAACTAGATAGCAAACCACCTAGCTCCTAGTAAAAAATCAGCTTACGCCTTACTCCATACCCTCATAAATACAAAAACCAATAACTGCAATATTAATTATTTTATTGACAGAACTCTATTATTTAATACTTGGTGGAAATGGTACAAACACACAAAAAACAATTTTTTGACGACCATTGAAACAATAGTCCTTATTGGGAGCTGACTGGAGCGAAAACGTTTTAAATATTTGTAAATCCTTTTGTGTAAATTTTAAATATGTTTTTAATAAAATGTATCATTAGACACAAGAAGTCTTAACTTCTAAGTAAGTTTTTTAAACTATGGTATACAGCCATCCACTAGGATTTTCCTTTTTTACTTTGTGATTTTCAATATGCTCTTAAAAAAAATGTTTTTGCTGCATGAATGTAAAAACTTAAGTTCCATTTGCTACAGGGTCTGATAGGACTAGAAAGATTATAGAATGGCCACCAAGACAAAAGACATACCAAAGCAGAGCGACACCCACTGACTAGATGGATGGGTAACACTACCAACAACAGGACAGAGGTTTATAGCAAAACTATATAATTTTATATTCTTATACTAAAAGACAATGCAGAAGTCAGAATGGCGACCTATTAATAACAATGAGAGATTTATTGAATAGATGGGTGTATTACTTTAACCAGGCACTAAATATAGAGGAAGAAGAAGTAAACCTGGAAGACGAAAGATATGAGGTAAGGGGAACAGACGAGAGGGAAGAGGAACCAGCAACGATTCTTAAAGTTAAGATGCAGTTAAAAAACTAGCCAGAAACAAATCACCCGAAATAGATAATCTCCCAGCTGAACTATATAAAGAATCGTTTTCGTATTGAGAAACCGCCAGTTGCCGTCTTCACTACTCTATTTGTTGTCATTTGGTTTATATGATTGGTCTATTCTACTTTTCTACTTCTTACCCAGTCCTTGAGGTTCTCCACCTTGCATCTACGTCGTATATCTGTACTTCTAGCTCTATCCAATAATGTTTTCCCATAAATTTTGAGTGTTTTCATCTCTGCTGTGTCTAACATCCTTTTTATCCTTTCTGTGTCAGGTCGGGTTTCTGCCGCGTATGTCATTATTGATCTGATGACTGTTTTGTAAATTCTGCCTTTTATTTCTTTGCCAATATTTTTATTTCTCCATATTGTTTCATTCAGGAAATCTGCGGCTCTGTTTGCTTTATTCACTTGATCCTTTACTTATTTTTCGAGATTTCCGTAGCCAGACAATGTGATGGGTAGATATTTAAACTCACATCACTTGTTCTATTAGCTGACCTTCCAGCTCCGATTTACGTCTTAGTAAATTTGCTGTTATAACCATGCATTTTGTCTTTTGTAATCAATGTAACCATTAGAACGAATGATATTTTTGATTCTAAAGTAGTTAGTTTTTGTATGTTAACAAATTTTGCATGATTTTCATATATTTTAGAAGTTTGAAAATACTCAAAACAAACAACACAGGTAAATAAGGTTTAACTTTGAATAACCTTTTATAACCCAATGTTCATTAGCCATTTATAACTAGTTTTAGAATTTAGACATTTGTAGATGATTGTAGGTGTTTTAATTTTATTTTGTTATATTTTTTTACACTTATGATTCTATTTTGTACTTATCGTGAAATGGATTATCCCATAAATAAATATAGATTAGTAGCATGTGCTATTGCTATCCTTACACTTACTTTTTATTTCAGGAATTCTAACACCAAAACTTAAAGGAATTTTTAGACAGCATGTAAAAAAAGTTATTTTGGATGGTGAACTCATGATGTACAACAAGTATTCAAAGAAATTTGGCTCCAAGGGTATGGCTCTAGATGTTAAAAAATTAAATAGCTCTGGTGCATATCAACCATGTTTCTGTGTTTATGATATTATTTTATTAAATGATAAAATATTAACAAACAATCCTTTAAGGGAACGTTTAAATATTTTAAAAACTGTTTTTACTGGTTTTAAAGAAGGTACCATTGAGCTAAGTGTAGCAAAAGAAGTATCTTCGAGACAAGAAATTGTTACTGAATTAAATGAATCTGTTGATAAGGAAGAAGAAGGAATCATTATCAAGGATCCGGACAGTATTTATAAGTATAGTGATAGAAATAGTGGTTGGTTCAAAATGAAGTTGGAATATTTTCAGGTGATTACTTTATAGTACTATTTAAATGGTCTTGCTTTCACAGCTTGCACTCACATTCCATACAGAGAGTTATTTTCTAGTTTTTTTTTTAATATTAATACAGAGTGTTTTAATTTGTTCAATAAGAAAAATATTTGTAAAGATATCCATCTCTGTGAACATGAACATGTAACAGTGACACTATGCTATCAAAACATGAATGGTAGCTTTATTTTTTCTGTCTTATACAATATGAATTATACCATGAGGGCCGTGTTAAACTGAAGCAGTAGCCAAAGTTGTCTAAGAGTTTGATAATCTCAGTTTAGTTATCCGTTTCTACTATACCTAGTAGTTTTCCATGATTTAGTCCTTCACATTTGTATATCATGCGTAAATGTAATTCTTTCAGCATAGATTTGCAGAGTTTTATTATAAATAATATTTATTTATTAAAAAAGTTTTAACTTTGTTTTGTTATTGTTATATCCTTCTCTGAATATTATCCATGATATAACATACATTTCGTTGATAGTTTCACTTTACTTCTACTTGCATTAATTATACAATTTCTGATATTGAAGATATTCTTTTTCATTATGCTTAAACAATCGTAAATGTTCGTATAATTGTCAGGTCCAAGAAATATGTATTGAATTTTACCTATATATTTACGTACAATGTGTAGTGTGTTTTATTGTAAATAATCTCATAATGTTTGAATATTCATTTGGTCGATATAAAAAAGAAAACCGATAATTTTTGCAGCTTCAATGATTCTATTATTGTTCAGTTAATAATTCATAGTTTCTACAGAATTCTTTACCTTCAATCCGCAACGAAATCGATCACAATTCGCAGTGGGCCAGAAGCTATAAAGAAAAATCTCGACTATTTGCAGAACATCTTGCCATATTTACAGCAATACTATATTAGATCATAAAGTAACATGCGAATTATCCCAAATTCCTATTAATATTCCACCCATAAAAATGTTATCAGTTAAAGAAGTACAAGAAGAAATAAAGTACTTAAATCTTTGAGCAGCATCAAGTGTGGATCAGGTATGGACAATGTATGTAATTCCAAAAACGCTAAAGGACTTGCTAAGAGAGGGAATAGCTCTTATCACATACATATTTAATACTATCTTAAGACTCAACCACTGGCCTAAAATGCTGAAACTCGCAGAAATAATACTTACTCTGAAACATGGACAAAAAGAACAGCAGACTAGTGTCATATCTTTCTTCTTCTTCTTCTTCTTGTGGTGCCTATCCGTTACGGATGTTGGCAACTAGCATGGCAATTCTAACTTTATTGACTGCAGCTCGAAATAGTCCTGAAGTGGCCAAGGAAAATCATTTTCGTAAATTCGCGAGCCATGATATTCTTCTTCTTCCTGGTCCCCTCTTTCCGTAGACCTTTCCCTGTAATATAAGTTGCAGCAGGTTATATCGTTTCGCATTATATGTCCAAGATATTCTAGCTTGCGCTGTTTTACTGTGGATATAATTTCACATGTCTTATCCATCCGACGTAGAACCTCAATGTTTGTTATTCGGTAAACCCAGGAGATCCTCAGTATCCGTCTATAACACCACATCTCAAACGCCTCGAGTTTTCCCATGGATGCCTCGGTTAGTGTCCATGATTCAACTCCATAGAGTAGCACTGTAAACACGAAGCATCTCAATAAACGGATTTTTGTTTTTAAGGGTAGGTCGTGGCTCTTAAATATCTTGCTCATTCTGACAAACGCTGACCTGGCTGTTTCAATTCTCTGTTTTATCTCAACTGAGTGGTCCCATTGGTCGTTTATATATATATATATATATATATATATATATATATATATATATATATATATATATATATATATATATACTAAATAGAAATAACGGGGCACTTGGAGTATTTGTTGCTGATCTACCAGTAATTGACTGGGTGGAATATGCTTCTTACTGATGACCATGTACTTTGTTTTCTTGATATTAAAATCAAGCCCGTACTCCTGTCATATCTTAGCGATGTTATACCCAAAATAATTGAAATAATGCTACTACAAAGAATAAATTATGATTTTGATCGAAGAATTGATACCAACCCACCAGTTTGGCTTTTAGTCAAAAAAAGAGAGAAACAGTCAACTTTTAAACAAGTTCACAGAGTTGTTCATAACATAAACCCATTTAAGCCTTTCACAAGGTTTGGCAGACAGGATTATTACTCAAGATAAAAAATTATCCTCCCATCACCTATTTCAAATTATTAAGATCTTATCTAAGCGACAGATACTTTAGAACAAAATTCAACTAACATACAACACACAGTTTTCCCATGAAATCCGATGTACCACAAGGAAGTGTTATTGGCACACTTTTATATGTGCTATATACAACAGATCTCCCTATTACCCTAGGGAATCACAATAGGTACATTTTGCCGATGACACCATTATCCTTGAAAGAGACGCAAATCCAATGAAAGCTACCACGCTTAGGTTACACGTAAATCTGTGCAAGTTACCTGTACCTTGGGAAGCACCATCAGTGTCTAAAAAACATACAAATACCACAATCCATAAACATATTTAGGAATTCATCTAGATGGAGGACTAACCTGGAAAGAACACATAACCAAAAAAACCAAACAAATTGATTTAAAAGTAAACAATATTTACTAGCTAGTCGGTAGAAAGTCAAAAGTATCATTAGAAAACAAACTTATTTATAAAAGAATTATAAAACCCATCTGGACATATGAAGAGGAACTATGGAGATGCCCAAGCAAGTCGAACATCTCTATTATACAAAGAAGTCAAACCAAAATACTTCTTCAGTGACTTAACCGGTCCGGATGTTGGCGATCATCAAGGCTATCATGGTTTTGTTGACTGCTCTTTGAAACAGCTCCGCGGAGGTCATCTCAAACCATTGTCGAAGGTTTTTCAACGAGATATGACAGCGTGCTGGTCCTCTACTGCCAAATACTTTACCCTGTAAAACGAGTTGAAGAATTCGATATTTTTCTTCGTTCCGCATCACTTAGCCGAGGTACTCAAGCTTACGTTGATTCACTAAATTAAGCACTTCTTTTTCTTTTGTCATGCGCTGTAGGACCTCAACGTTGGTGACATGGTCCACACAAGATATTTTTAGTATTCTCCTGTAGATCCACATCTCGAAGGCTTCAATCCGCTTTTCAGTGGTTTGCGTCAGTATCCAGGCTTCAACTCCATATAATAACACTGGAAGAATGTAGCACTTCACTATCCGCATCTTGGTTCCCAAACTGAAATCACTGCAGCACAGCAAGGATCTCAACTTGATAAATGTAGACCGTGCCATTTCAATTCTGGATCTAATATCTTGAGCGTAGTTTCATTGTGAGTTGAGGGTAGTTCTCTTAGCTATCTGCCATTAGTGCCCGGGATTTAAATTTGCACGGCTGACAACCATGAATTTAGTTTTCTTAATATTAATATAAAAAATACGCTCACAGTTCTCACTCGGTCTAGTAAGGCTTGTAGACCATTTAGGCTGGTTGCTAGTAACACAGTGTCATCGGCGTAGCGGATATTATTGATGTATTCACCGTTTGCTCGGATTCTCATCTTTAGAGAGGGCTTCAGTAAAAGTTTCTTCAGAGTATATATTGAAAAGAGTCGGCGAGAGCACACCTTGCCTTACTCCTCGCATGGTCTTCACTTGACCGGTCAGCTGGTCTTCGACCTTGACTTAAGCACGCTGGTTCCAGTATAAATTCATGATGATCCGAATGTCATCACCCAATCCTATTCTTTGTAGGGCGGCGACTATCTTCTGGTGATGACAACGGTCAAATGCAAGTCAACCAAAATACTCCGCATGATAATATATTCACCACAATAATGTCTCCAATCAAACACTATACGAAAACCTAAAAATAGATTATGTTAAAGACGTCATTCGAAGACAAAGCACAAAACACCATAATAAATTGAAAACTCACACAAATTTTTTAGTTCACTTACTACAGCCCCATACCAGAAGACTCAAAAGAAATTGGCCAGCAAACACACAAAATGATTGAAAAGGGGTTCTATACGATAACATTGTTTTCTGATTGCTAATTTAAATATATAAATTGTATTCTGATTGCTAATTTAAATATAGATTAAAAAAATTGCATGCTACAGAATGCATGTTCCGTTTCATAAAACTCCAGTAGCAAAAGTCAATAAGTTTAAATCATGTGGAGGTTGCTTCTCAACATGTCTATTGGTACTTTCGAAACTGCTGCATGAAATAATTCGACTAATGTCATTACAAACCATCACGAAGATTTTGCAGCCAAGAAAATGCTTGTACGTCCCACGTTTCTTCGTCCAACTATCTTTCCTTGCATTATAAGCTTTAGGAACTCATATCTTGTATCTCTAGAGGAGTGGCCAAAGAACGTAAGTTTTCCCTTCTTATAGTATATATAATTTCAGTTTCAATGTTCAGTATTTCCAAAACTACCTGATTTGTAAATCTATCCGTTCGTGAAATGTTGGTTAGTCTCGTTGACAATAGTTCCAAGATATTTGTACCGAGCAATGACCTTTCCATTAAAACTAATTGTACAATATTTTTGTTAACTTTTTTTGAAACTACCATTATTTTGATTTTTCTGATATTTATATGTAAACCGTGTGTGATACTAACCATAGACTTTATCCGTCCCTGGAGGAACGCCAACGGTACTGCAAAAAAATATCAACTTTGTAGGATGTATTAGTAAATCGAAATGAAGGTTACTTAGGACATAAAGTGTATCGAAAACCTACACACACACAGACAGATACCTAAACAGGAACTCAAATCATCATCCAAGCCAAAAAGAAGGTATCATCAAAACTTTGGCGGAGAGGGCGAAGAGAATTTGTGAACCACAACATCTCCAAGGTGAACTTCTTTATATGGAAAAAGCGCTCACCTCTAATGGTTATACCAGAAGAGAAATACACAAGGCGATGAACAATGTATCTAGAAGAAGGGATGAAGAAACAGAATGTAAAGACAAAGCGTTCTTGCCCTATATATCGGGGTTAACGGACAGAATTGGGCGAATACTTAAGAAAGCCAACGTAAAGACCATCTTCAAGCCTACAAAGAAAATCAAGGATTGTTTAAAATCGGTAAAAGACAAACGCGACCCATTAGCAATGGCCTGAGTATACCGAATACCATGCACATGTGGAATGGTATATGTGGGAATCACAAAAAGACACACAAACACCAGATTAATGAACATAAAAGCCACTGTCGTTTAGGACATATCGACAAATCTGCCGTTGCCGAACACGCTTTCAGAAGCGGAGAACATCGGATACTATTTGAAGAAACACAGATGCTGAAGGACTGAAAATTAACAAGACATGGATACCAATATTAAAATCCACAAACGCCCTTCCCGCCAAACACGAAGAAAGAAAAGCTACTATAAACAACGACACGCCCCCTCAAGCCGAAACCAGGGGAGGGCAGGCGAGTGGGAAATATAAATATTGCCTCCGTAGTACAACGCGGCGTCAGTATCTGCTTATAAGCGAAGCATTAAAATCTCCAGAAGATGCCAACCCCTAGTGTTGGCGAAACGTCGAGAACTAATCTCAGCAGACAATGGCCTAACAGCCCGAACAAACAGTTTAATAAGTTAGACGATGGCCGTGAAAGCCTAACGCAGTTTATGAGGTAGGGTCGCATTGTGTCCCACTCAAACAACGAGCAATGGAACGAAATAATCGTCTATCTGGTGTATTCCGATTGGGATATTTTTTCCGTAAAAAACTCTAGTCGCTAGTGCGCTATTCTCTGGTATTTACCTGTGATTACCACAATTATCGATAATTATCTGAAACTTTAACTACTTACCCAGAATTAAATGAATCTCTGCCAATACTTGATACCATTATAATAGAAAATTTAATTTTTGTTAAGAGTCTTAAATGCACAATAATTAAAAGCTTAAATTTGTATTATTTAAAAGATTATGTTGTATGTTTCCGACAATGACCTTTACAACCGTAGCAACAATTGTTTAACAGCTTATCTACTGAATTTTTAAACTGTAATGAAAAAAAGTCTGTATCTCGATAAAAACTAGCTTTTGGAAAAAGTGTCATAATATAAAACTTTCAAAATTACTGTGTTAACTTAATGGTGCCACGTAGTAATAATATAATTATAACATACACAAGAGAGAACAACATTACCGCGGTATCAAGGGGGAAGAGGACTTACAGATATAGGTGAGCAATTGGACAAACAAATTGCTAATTTAAGAACTTATTTTCAGGTACAGGCTGAGACATCTACTTTACATCGAGTAATTTGCGCAGTAGATGATACAACGCCGCTTAAACTGGGGGAACAAGAAATGCGCATAAACTACCTGACTCAGCAAGAAAAAATATGCATCTGGATGAGTAAACCTCAGCATGGGCGGCATCTCAATGAGATCAGCCAAGAATATGTCGACAATACTGCGTCGAACTATTGGTTGACATCAGGAAAGATGTTTCCTGGGACTAAGGGTTTCCTACTAGCCATTCAGGATCAGGTTATTCCAACTAAAAATTACCTAAAATATATCGTTAAAGATCCTTAAGTCCAAAATGACAAATGCAAATGGATGCCAAGCATAAGAAACCATCCAACATCTTACCGGTGGCTGCCAGGCATTTGTCGGTACTAATTATAAAGAACGCCATGACTCAGTAGGAAAGATTATCCACCAAGAACTAGCTGACAAACTGGGACTTCTCCAAACTGACCATTTTCCTTATTATCAATATGTCCCTGACAGAATGCTTAAAAATGACAACTACAAGCTATACTGGGACCGCACTGTGCTCACAGACCAACCAGTGGCCCATAATAGACCGGATCTCATACTAGTGAATAAACTTACCAGGCATACAACACTTATTGATGTGGCGATACCTAACACAATCGCACTCTTTTTGGGCTCCAAAATATGTGGTGCCATTTATGACCTATGTTTTTGTTACATCCTGTATAGTCCCAAAACATCACATATACAAAATTTATATATTTTTTGTTTCTTTGGCTTATTTTTATTTATTAATCCATTAATTTATTTAGTCCATATTAATATTTTGAATACATTTTCAGGATGTGATGAATGATTTAGACCTTATTCTAATGGGAGGCGATTTTGCCTCATCCACTTCTGACACGCTGAATTCATTTATCGTCGGTATCCGTTCTGGAAACGGTCCCAACGGAAAACCTTTATACATTTCTTGTGGAAGAGTTAGTTCGGGATTGAGCTATGAAGAACTATCGATGCTCAACAAAAAAATTAAAACACAAGGAAATAATTTCGACCAATTTAATTGTGATAATTTACAATTTGCAAAGGATGTTCCCCATTATTATATAGAACCAGAACAGTCTGTGGTATTTCAAATACGAGCATCCGAGTTAACGAGAGATAGCAAATCTTTTAAAACTCATTACACGCTTAGATTTCCGAGGGTTTTAAAAATAAGAGATGATAAACCTGTGGACGAGTGTCTCAATATCAACGAATTTATGGATTTGACACAGAACAATAAGGCAGTTATCAAATTAAATAAAAGAAACATCGAGTTAGACGAAATAATTCAATCAAAAGTTAAACGCATTAAGACAAAAGAAATTATAATGCCAACATTTTATGACACTAAAAAAGTATCTGATATATTAGAAGGTTACACTATTTTGGTACTTGACGGGAGAGATGATTTTGAAAAGGAAAAGGCTGAAAGTTTGGTAAAAAGAGCTGGAGGTAAGTGTGGAATTATTCTTATAAATTGTTTTTAAGGAATATAATTTAAATACTTCATCTTTTTATTGTAGACACGATTCTGTCTATTTTTCAATGCGCCTTCAATAAGTTGTTTTTCAATCGTCGTTTTCGTGATCTTCCCACTGATCGTCTTCCTATTGGGAAACCATCGTTTTACAACTCTATTTTTTGTCATTCTGCTTATACGATTGTTCCATTCTACTCTTCTGTTTCTTACCTAGTCCTTGATGTTCTCCACTTTGTATCTCAGTTATATATTATTTGTACTTCTAGCTTTGTCCCATAGTGTCTTACCATCAATTTTTCTAAGGGTTTTCATCTCTGCTGTTTCTAGCATTATTTTTGTTCTCTATGTATCGGATCGCCGGTCGTGTTTCTGCTGCGTAAGTCATTGGTCTGATAACTGTTTTGTATATTCTGCCTTTTATTTCTTTCCCGTTACTTTTATTACTCCATACTGTTTTATTCTGGCAACCTGCGGCTCTGTTTGCTCGACTCACTTGATCTTCCACTTCTAAGCTAGTCAGTGTGATACCCACATACTTAACTCCATCACTCGCCATGTCCCTATATTTCCAATTTACATCTTAACATGCATTTTGTCTTTTTTCGTGAAATTATAATGTTAAATTTTCTGGCGGCCATTTTAATGTAAATAATCTTCACTTCGAGAGATAAGTTGTATGTAGTCTGCATAGCAGATTATTTTAATTTGTTTTTCTCTCCTTTGGTATCCTTTTTTCGTTCTTACTTGTTTTTATTATTTCATCCATGATAAGGTTGAACAATGGAGGGCTCACAGAATCCCCTTGTTCTATCTCATTTTCTACTTTTACTTTGTGTTGTTTTGGTATATATTTTCGATAGTTGTGATTACTCCTGTATATCCTCTTTCGTACAATAAGTAGATAATGTCCTTTAATGTGACCCTACCATCTCCAGGTCCACAAAACCAAAAACAAAAATATGCCGGTTTATTGTATTCTAGTTATTTTGTCTTGCACTTTTGTTTCACTATTAATAGAGCGTCTGTACATGAACTTACCGATCTAAAGCCTTGTTGTTGTTCTGCTAGTGCTATAATTTCATTGTGTTTATTTGTTACCACTTTGATTGTTTATTTTGGTGTTGGGTTTAATAAATTAATTCCTCTGTAATTCTCCGGGTCCGATTTGTCTCCCATTTTTTGAAGAGAGGAAGATGCTTAATCTTCATTCTGGTGGTATTCTGCTGTGTTGTATTATCGATTTGGTTGAATTTTAATAGTTGTTTGGTCAGATCTGGCCCTCTGTAATTTAGCATGTAAACTCATACGATATTATCAAAAAGAATTTATTATATATTAAAGTGGGTAAATCCCAGTGGTTGGCTGTATACCATAATTTAAAAAAACCTTCAGAGAAGTAACGACTTCTAATGTATAATGGTATATTATTTAATTAAAAAATAATTAAAATTTATCCAAAAGGATTACAATTTTTTCAAAAAGTTTTGATCAGACCATCAGTGAAACCTGACAGTATATGTCCACTTTAAAATTACACAAAAATAGGTAAAATGTTGACTGTGTCTAAAAATGTAGAAAATACTTATATTTTGAAAAATAGTTGAAACTAGCTACTGAAATAGGTTTAAAAACCATTAAATTAGATGACAATCATAGTTATATTTTGTAATGACACGAGGTCGATGTTATAAGATTTCACCTAAAGGGAATATACTTTTTCCCTGCTCGAAAGGAGAACTACTTTGCCCCCAAGTAATACAAGCCAACTGACGTAAGTCGAGAAGGAAGTTAAATTAATAAAAAATTGACAGCTCCTCAAGAGGATAGCGGATTTTTGGCAAACACTCAAATAAAAGCACCTATAAAAATATTGTATGAAAATGAAGTAATAAAGTATATTAAATTAATTTATTGTGAAATAAATGTTATTAGTTAACAAAGTAACGATAATTGATCAAATGATCAAATGCAGTCATTGCCTGATCTTACATTTGAGTAATGACGTATCGAGGTAAGTTAATAATGTTGTGTGATAATAAGTTAAAGAGGAAAATAATTATATGTTAATAATAATTATGTTTGCGTTACAATGATGAAGGGATGAAAAAAGAAGGTGATAGAATAAATATAAAATCCCACTAAATGATATTTTATTTATTGTGAAGTCAACTACTTTTTACAAAGTAAGTATTTTCCACATTTTTAGAAATTTAACAATCAAAATTTTACCTATATTGTGTCATTTTAAGGTGGAAATATACTTTCAGGTTTCACTGATAATGGTCCGACTGGACCTAAAACTTTTTGAAAAATTGAAATCCTTTTGGATAAATTTTTATTATTTTTTAATAAAATAATATATCATTGTACACTAGAAATCTTTACTTCTCTGTTAGTTAATCTATTATATATTACGATACTTGCATGACAATGGCAAACGACTATGTTATGACAAACCTTGCTCTTTTGAAACTAGTAGAAGAAAGTGATAGTAATGTTAAAATGAGCTGAGTAAGTCCGTGAGTACAGTTTAATTAACTAACGTCTAATAGTAAATAGGTAAGCTGTTTTATTGAACTAAGACTCTCTCTTCACCGGCTACCTCGGGACCAGAGCTTGGCTGGTTAATCCGATGTGCAGGCATTTTTATGAGAAAAATCAAGTACATACATATATCAAACACATGTACAGGAAGGTGTATATTAATAAAGATTACGGAATATAAAGTTGAAAAATACTATTTATTTCTATGTACATACATATACAAATATTTTACAAACTTGTTTTAAAAAAATCGGTAACTTTCTTCTGTTTCTTGACATTAAGTGACTTTTTAAAAGTTATATTTCTCCATTTTTAAAAACCAAGACGTTTATTGAAGATGATACTTCAATGCCGCACTAGCTTCGGTATGGCCGACCTTTTCCTCTCCGTCAACATCATCATCATCAGTCTCCTCATTTTCATAGGACTCTTCATGTATAGTTAGTGTAATTATTTCTTCGTCTGTCAAAAATTCGTTTTCAAGTTCCTCATCACAGTCCATCCATTCTTCAATATCTTCAGCCTGCAATTGGACATTTTCGGATAACGTTTGTAGACCTTGAAGAATAGTGGTAGAATTATCTCCTTCGTGTAATTGTTGACACTAAACAAGTTCCACAATGTTGGCCCAAAGTTTTCGCCAAGACTTAACAAAAGTAGAAGCAGGATGTACATTACATCCTTTAAGTTAATTTTTTGATGATATCAATAAGATTGAGATCTTCACTTTCTGTGCACTATAAAATTTCGGACAGTAATATACGTCTGTATCCTCTTTTCAAGCTTTTAATCACCCCTTGATCCATCGATTTGTCACATTGGGAAGAAGAAAGATAATTTTTATGTCATCTCTCTCACATGTTACGTTTTCAGGATGAGTTGGAGCATTATCCAGAAATAGGACTGCTTTAGTGGAAAGATTTACGCTCTTTAGATGGCGCGTTACTCTCGGAACAAATTCACGCTCAAACCATTCTTTGAATAGATCAGCGCTCACCAATGCTGATTTTTGTGATCTGTAGATTACGGGGAGGGAAGATAGATGTAAATCTTTAAATGCACGCGGTTTAGCGGACTTACCAACAACGAAAAGAAGAATTTTGTGTGTTCCTGCTGCGTTTGCAACAACAACTGTAATGCGCTCTTTATTCTTTTTAAATCCAGAAGCCGATTTTTCATAACTTCCCAAAAATGTTTTTTCTGGAAGCATTTTAAAATTGAGACCCGTCTCATCCATGTTATATACTTGTTCGGATTTTAATTTTTCCATTTTTATAAGTTCTACAAACTTGGAGGTAAAATCAGTTTCACCTGAAGCGTCCGGCAATAAATTTACCTCCGTCTATAATTTTGCTGTGTATACATAAAGCCTTTTCCCTTAGAATCGGGCCGCTAATAGGTGTGCCCGTTCGCCGTTCTGGAAGGAACCACAACCAAAGAGCTTCATCTACTATCTCGAATTTCGTTTTTTAGTGCATCTAGTGTTTAGATTTTTATCTGATTCCATTTGGGCGCAGAAATCCTCGATTGAACGCCGATCCCTTCGCCAGTCATTCACTGTACATTCACATTCAACTATGAACAAATTCTCTTTACCTTCTCACTCATTTTCGCACAAGACGAGTTCAATCCTCTTCGAAAGCAAAAACAGAACTGTCACTGAAAACCAGAGGCGAGAGACGATCATCATGCGCCACTCGTACGCTAAACAATAGGAAGGGGGAGTGGCCGGTTAATACGACGGCCGGTTAATGTGAGACCGTTTAAGAGGGAGTCTACTATACTAAGAATTATTTTAATTTTGATTTAGAATAAAAAATAGAAAACATCTTGACTGTAAACTTTTTGTTTTTCTTTGTATTTGTTTTTTAATTTCTGTCTTTCCGCTTTCTAAATTACTATTGAAACTTGAAAATTACTTCTGAAACATCAACACTACTGATGGTTCTATATCTTACATGATTTTTTTTTGTCTTTAACGAATATTTCTTCTGTAACTATATGTATATCTTCTGTATTTACGTTATTTATAATATAAGTAATGTCAGATTTCGGCCCGTATGTCATATAAAATATTTTGTCGGAAACGCTTCACTCCTATTGGAAGTATATGAATATAGTATGAATAATTACAAGCTAGCTAGAAATAACCAACGCCCCGCATGTTTAGTATTTCCGAATGTTGCCAAAAAGAGGTTGATGAGTGATTCTTAACAAAGTATCCTGTCGTCATCGGTTTCAACGCCATTCGGAGTTTCGGTATAAAAATAAGAATCTGTGCTGGTTTTTCCTAGCTGGCTAGTATTATACCTAATTATATATTAAATATTTTAGGAACTGTTGGATATTTCGTAAATGAAAAAACCGACATCGTTCTAGCATCGCAAAGAACACAGAACGTAATAAACTTAATAAAAAAGAGACCACAATACGATATCATAAATTTAACGTGGTTGGAAAGATTAATAAAAGACGGCAACTTATTGGGATACGAACATGATGATGTATTTTATATAGGATGGAGCTACAAAAATCGATTAGCAGATGAAGTGGACAAATATGGTGATAGTTTTACCGAGGAGACTACCGTTGAAAAACTTAAAAATACTTTTCAGATTATAAACGATATGGGTGATAGTTTTTTAACTAATGGCACGATCAAAATTGAAGGACGAAAGTATTTAGACCAATACCACGCTTATTTCGACAAATTTTTCGAGCCGATGAATACCCATTCCAACATAATTTACGACTGTTTTTTAGATGAAATCGAATTTAAATATTGCGGAGGAAAAGTTTTCGAAACAGTTACGGAAGATGTAAATGTGATCATTTTTAATGGAGATAATGAACGAAAAGAAATTTTAGAACAATTTTTAAAAAGTACAGTGAAACTTGGATAATTCGAACCTCAAGGGACCGTTAAAAAAATTCGAATTATCCAAAAATTCGAATTAAAAATATATCCACAAAAAACAAAAATGCCTACAAAAACATCTGCAAACGATAAAAATCAACAATAGTTGACCATTTTTATCACTTGCAGATGTTTTCTGCAAAGATATCGAAATATTTTATAGTTTGCAGAATTATCCAAAAATTCGAATTAAAAAAATATCCACATAAAACAAAGATTCATACAAAAACATATACAAATGATAAAAATCAACAATAGTTGACCATTTTTATCGCTTGCAGATGATTTCGTTACTATTTTTGCCTGAATTTTGTCAACCGAAAAAAATGGGCCAACAAAATTAAAGCATTTGCAAGCTATAACAAATGGTCAATTATTGTCGATTTTTATCATTTGCAGGTTTTCTCATTGGTATTTTTGGCCAAATCTTAGTCGAAACAATCGGCAGATAAAAAATTCCCAGTGAGAACGCATTATTAAAACAATAAAACATTTTGTCTCAAAAAATTTATTGAAAATAAGAATACATATTTGTTACAATTAATGAAAATAGACTAATGTTTTCTAAAGAAATCCAAAAATTTTAGCTGCTTTTTAGAATTTAACGTCTCAGTAATGACAAACGATTCTAAGATGTTCAGTGAACTAAAAATAGAGTGACTTACATCATTTTTACTTTCAAAGTACCGTTTAAGTTGCGTAATATGGTGTGTTGCTTCGGCCGCACTTGGAACATGTATTTCTCCCGCAACTGATGATGCGTCGTCTTCATCACTCTCTTGTTTTTCATTATTGTACTTAAGCACTTCAGCGATGATCTTTGTATCGGTTATTTCACCACATCTTCATCTTGCAACATCTTCATCCACGTTGACAAAATCTTCATAAGAGATGTCAGGATCAGAAATGATGTCCACCAGCAGTCAACTGAAAGCAGCTCTTCTGTTAAATCGTCGTCTGTGTTCTCCTCCTTTTTTATAAAACCAGCTCTTTTGAAACAGTGTTTGATCGTTTCGGGTGTTACTTGGTCCCAGGCTTTTTTACACATTCGAGATGCTTGTAGAATGTCTAACTTTATTTTAAGGGTGTCGCAATCTTCCATCAATGTGTTTTCAACCAAAAACGTCTGTAAAAATGTTTAAATTTTTTTATGACACCCTGGTCCATGTTAGCAGAAAAAAAAATAACTTTTACATTTTCCATCAGTGGGATAGTGGTGTGTGCCGTACAATTGTCAATAAACAAAATAACTTTTCTTTTTTCTTTTATGAACTTTTTGTCTAATTTTTTCAGCCAGTTCTCAAAAAGATCACTAGTCATCCAAGCTCGTGCGCTACTCACATATTCCACTGGTTTTGACTTGACGTTCTTAAAACAACGCGGATTAGCCGACTTGCCAATCATCAGTAGAGGTAGCCTTTCTGATCCGTCCATGTTTGCACCAATTAGAAGAGTTACTCTTTCTTTACTTAGTTTTCCTCCGTGACATTTTTCATTTTTAAATGCTAGTGTTTTGTCAGAAGTGCATTTAAAAAAGAGACACGTCTGGTCAACATTAAAGATATCTCTTTAATCTATACCCTGAATCATCTCTTCCAAATTTTTTTTCCACTGGTTGGCGTCTTGCTGATTAACGGTCCCACTTTCTCCACAAATAGATTTGAAAGAATATTTGTTGCGTTTGTTCAGCAAATTGTTCAGCTGTGCTTCTTATAAGGGGACCACTTACGGGAATCTTCTTATCCCTAGCTTGTATGAACCATTTTAACACACAACTGTCTAAATTTAGATTTTTTGACTCCCTTAACTTTTTTCGATCTTTAAAGCACTCACTTTCACTGTTGAGAATTTTTTCTTTATTCTTCAAGTAGGTGGATAATGTGTTAGGAGGAATTTCAAAGTCCCTGGCAATCTCAGTTTTTTCTTCGTCCCCTTTTCTACTTCTCTAATCGCCGCTATTTTTTCCGATAACGTTAAAGTTTTGTATGTTTTCGTATTACCATGCGACGACATCTTTACTTAATACGAAGTGACTTGACGTGATTTGCAGTGATTGCAATTGCTACACCAACGCATCTCAACTGAAGGGGCGTGCCAGATAGGCTAGAATTTAGGTGACAGGTACGGGTACAATGTACAATGGCCTTGAATGCCTTGAAACAAGTGGCACGTTAGAACAGAAAAGAATACTACCTCTTTTAGCGGAAATTTCCAGCATTAAATTGGCATTTTTAACTTGTAGAAAAGTTCGAATTATCCAAAATATAATTCGAATTATCCACGACTTTTTAACATTACTTATATAGGAAATGCTAGGGACCAGAATAAAAATTCGAATTAAAGAAGATTTCGAATTAACGAAGTTCGAATTAAGCAGGTTCTACTGTATTAATAGGGGTGATATTGAAATACGCAATAATGATTTAATTTTTAACTAAAAGGAGACACTGTATACATTTTTTTAAATAAATATGTGTTGTTTTTTTTTTTTCAAGACTATATTTTTAATGTTTGCCTCTGTTGCCTCTTCGACCTCTGCATTCCACCACCAGCACTGTTCCCTTATTCCCCACCTTATGGCGACAGTCAATGTTGAGTATAATGCGTGAGTTGCTCGGCTAAGTTCGGAATATATCGGTTATACGGTATTTATAAGCTTCATTTGCAAACAGTTTGACCGATAAAACCAAATTTTTTGGAGTTATTCGCGAAAAACAATTTATCTGTTTTTTTGACGTGTAATTTGTGAACTTTTAGTCACGAATAACTTCAAAAATATTGACTTCTTTATATTGATATAAATATTGAGAAAGAACTCTGAAAAACATTTTTGTTTTAAAATTCTATTCTAGCGACTACCTTAGATTTTAAAACTTTTTCCATCCCCCGAGTTGGGGTAGTAACCACTCCTAGAGGAAAAGCACATATTGTTATAGGGTAGATTTTGATCATGGAGCTTTTTTCTACCTACCGTTCAAGGAAATCTATGCATATAAACAGAATTCTAAGCAGAAAACCATCATATCCTGGACTATTATAGGAGGGTTGCACTTATATATTCAAGGGATAAAAACTGAAGAAACACTACAAAACCAGAGATAACGGCGTTATATCTAAGAGGTATAAAGTAAGGAGAGAACACAAATAGCCGCAATTGTTGAGTGAATCAGATGAGAAAGAAATTATTATTTTACAAGGTCTCTTGAGCTACAAGCTCAAGGCTTTTATTTTTGAAGACTGAAGCAAAACAACTTCACAAAGTTATAGCCTATTCGAGACTTTGATTAATAATGTTCCAACAATAATTAACTGCATTACAGTACTCAACCCCGGCATGTACAATAGAACGAGATTGACTGAGAAAGCTAATGAATACTGCCATTGACGCAATGATCATCACAGGAAAATACAAAGGAGATGATATCTTGATCCTGAGTATACCCATGATTTACGGACGGATGAATGGACTACAATTTCCCGTACGTTTGGCTTTTGCAATGACAATAACCAAATCGAACGAAACTTCTAATTTCCATGTTTCACGCATGGACACTCATACGTCGAGTTTTCGCACGTCGGAAAACAGACATCATTGTATATTTACGTATTGGGAGTAGCTCTTCGATTACCATAGCCGGTCACAAGCCCGGATAAAATGTGAAGGGTGCTTGGCAAGGTTAGCAACCTACCAATAATAAAAAAATACTGCTCACAAAAACAATGATACTATGAGGACGACCTCGGCAAGAAATAAGGACAAGCGAAAAACATCCAAAACCCAGATGAGAATTACTATTTGGAAAATCAGATCGCTCAACACAAGGGACCAAGAAATAACCCAAGTGCTGATAGAGAAAGGAATAGACATTTGTGCTCTACAGGAAATAAAAAAGAAAGGAAAAGGACAATCAAAATTAGGTGAATACATACTAATATACAGTGGAGTAGCAAAAGAAAACAAGGAGGTGTAGCCTTACTAATACATCAAAGGTACCAAAATCACATCAAAGAGTGTCAATACATATCAGAAAGGATTGTAACTGCAAAGATAAGAATGAAGAAGGAAGACCTGAACATCATTGGAGTATACGGCCCAGAAAATACCAAGCCTCAAACAACAAGGGATACAAAGATGATAATATTGGGGGATTTTAACGTTCGAATAGGCAATAAAGTAATACCGGGAATTAAGCAAAAACATAACGAGGATGTTAAAAACGAAAATAGAGAACTGATGATAACCTTCTGCACGAATAATGAACTTAAAATAAACAACACATTTTTTGACCACAAAGACCAACACAAATATACATTTAATAGCACCCGTGGACAAAGATCTATGAAAGAGTATGTTATAACCAACAGAGATATACATCCATCGAAAGTAATCCACGTAAGATGCCTCAACTCAGCAAATGTAGGTAGCGACCATAGCCTAGTATTATGTAAAATATGACATATGTCATATGTCACCTTAGCATTTCCGTTAAATACCATTCTCTCCTGTTACCGACAAGAATGTAGAGCGTAGAATAATTTTTAATAATTTTAAACTGTTTGTCCTTGTTTTAATGTAGTGTTATGTACAATTTATGTCCAATTTCATGTTTATTATATTCTGCGCTTGCTAGATAGCCCAAATTTGACGAAATGCCCCTAATGATGCTGTAGAAAGCGAAAGTACTGGGCAATATTTGATTATTAAATTTGTGCTCGATATTTGCCTTAATTTTTCAAAGTTCATTTAATTGAGCATTCAACCTTATTTCAAATATCTATATTTCCGTGGACCTTAAGAAGGCATTTGAATGGGTTAAATTAAAGAACGTTATCCACTTATTGTACGCAAGAGAATAATCGCTAGGAATAATCAAAATTATTCATTGAATATATCTATCGAAACAACACAATAAAAGTCAAAGTAGACGAAGAAGTAACCCACCCTATTGAAGCTGGCAATGGGATAAGATAGGGGGATTCCCTGAGTCCTCTATTCTTCAACCAGATTATGGATGAAATAATAAAAAAAGGAAGAACTAAAAAAGAATACCAAATGGAAGAAAATCAACTTAAAATAATCTGCTAGGCAGACTATGCAATACTAATCTATCAAAGTGAAGACAATTAACAAATGTTAATTTCCCCGAAAAAGACAAAATGCGTGGTTACACAGCAAGTTTACTAAGGTGTAAACTGGAGCTGGAAGGTCAGATAATAGAACAAGTGATGGAGTTTAAATATCTAGACATCACATTATCTAGCTACGAAAAGCTTGAAACTGAAGTGGAAGATGAAGTGAATAGAGAAAACAGAGCCGCATGCTGCCTAAATGAAACAATATGGAGAAATAAAAATATCGGGAAAAAAATGAATGGCAGAATTTACAAAACTGTCGTCAGACCAATAATCACATACGCGGCAGAAACACGACCTGTCACAGAGAGGACAAAAGGACGTTAGAAACAGCAGAGATGAAAACATTTCATCAAACAGAAAAATTGATGGCAAGACAGTATGGCATAGAGCTAGAATTACAGATATACGACGTAGATGCAAGGTGGAGAACATCAAAAAATAGAAGAGTAGAATGGAACGATCATATAAGTAAAATGACAACAAATAGAGTAGTAAAGATGGCAAAAGACGGTTCTCAATAGGAAGACGATCAGTAGGAAGACCACAAAAATGACGAAAGGACAACTTACTGGAGGCGCATTGAAAAACAGAAAGAGTCATGTCTACATAAAAAGAAGAAGAAGGGGAAAAAGTACAAAGTTTTCGTACAGAATGTTTTTAAGTATCTTTTTTTTGGATAATTGATGGATTCGACCGTTACTTGATGGAAATTCATTTTATGTAACAATAAAACACTGAAAACTTTGTTTTCAAACTTCCACAAAATTTATTTTAAATCTTATCACTACAGCTGATCTATTTTTGGCTTGGGTTTACAAATTTATAGTCTCTAATGAAATAGGTTAGGGAGGGGAGAACTGTTTGTCTCAAGTTGGTCATTCAGAATTATATCTGTGTTTTTTAATTTGTTGATTTCCATAGATTCTAACAAAGATAGCTTAAGGCCTTTATTTTGAATGTGAAGAATTTTAAATTTGTCATTAAAAGAATGATTATGATCTAGAAGGTAAAGTGCGTATGTCGAATCTGTTTTTCTATTCTTGAAAGCCCTTTTATGTTCTGCTATTCGTTTATCAAAGTTTCTACCAGTTTGACCGATGTAAGTTTTTGGGCAGTCGCCACATTGAAGTTTGTACACACCACTATTTAAGTGTTTTTTATTTTGGCTCCTGTTATTTTTAATATATTTGCCTAGGTTGTTATTTGTTCTGAAAGCTGGTGTTATTCCTTTCTTTTTTATGTGTTTGGCAATTTTTGTTGATATTTTGCCTGTATATGTAATCGAGCAGAAGGTACTGGATTTTTTCTCTGGTGGTGGAAATACTAATTTCAGGGCTTTCTTGTGTAGTTTTTGATTTAACATTTTATTAATTGTTAGTTCGTTGTATCCGTTGTTTACTGCTATTTGCTTAACTGGTAGCTTATCATAGTATCTTACATAGATTAACAGAAATTCCGATGTCAAAATACAACTTTGAGACAGAATTAAATATAATTAAGCAAATAGCAGTAAACAACGGATACAACGAACTAACAATTAATAAAATGTTAAATCAAAAACTACACAAGAAAGCCTTGAAATTAGTATTTCTACCACCAGAGAAAAAACCTAGTACCTTCTGCTCGATTACATATACAGGCAAAATAACAACAAAAATTGCCAAACACATAAAAAAGAAAGGAATAACACCAGCTTTCCGAACAAATATATTAGGCAAATATATTAAAAATAACAAGAGCCAAAATAAAAAACACTTAAATAGTGGTGTGTACAAACTTCAATGTGGCGACTGCCCAAAAACTTACATCGGTCAAACTGGTAGAAACTTTGATAAACGAATAGCAGAACATAAAAGGGCTTTCGAGAATAGAAAAACAGATTCGACATACGCACTTCACCTTCTAGATCATAATCATTCTTTTAATGACAAATTTAAAATTCTTCACATTCAAAATAAAGGCCTTACATTCAAAATAAAAGCTATCTTTGTCAGAATCTATGGAAATCAACAAATTAAAAAACACATATAATTCTGAATGACCAACTTGAGACAAACAGTTCTCCCCTCCTCAACCTATTTCATTAGGGACTATAAATTTGTAAACCCAAGCCAAAAATAGATCACTTGAGAAAGGCAATCAGCCGAAACAGCTGTAGTGATAAGATTTAAAATAAATTTTGTGGAAGTTTGAAAACAAAGTTTTCAGTGTTTTATTGTTACATTTTTTTTTGGACTGTTAATTTTATTATTGAACTTTTGCACGTTATTTAATTCTAATACGGTGTGAAGTTCGCCGAGTCAGCTAGTACAAATATGCTAATATATTATTTTATCGAAATATATAACAAAGAAAATACCAACATTAATTAATGATGATAAACAAAAAACAAACATATTCGGCATAAGGTTAAAAGTGTTAAGGATTATTGTTGACATAAACGAAGTGAGAATAAAAATAAAAAGGTAGATCTTTGCAGTCATACATATTTGCGGTTATTGAAAAAATAATATTTGAAATTTTTACCCTGTTGAGTTTAATCTGCTTTGTACGAGTACAAGAAACACAATTCGCTAAGGATTTCTGCTTAGTTGTAAAGACATGTCGTGGAATGCAAATTTTAGATTCCCCATGTCCCTTTTAACATCTTTTATCAACGTCTGTTTGCCTTGCAATTCTTAGAAGGCTCAGATTATAAGCAGAAATCTGAATTGTGTTTCGAAACTATTTTACGGATTAAATATTAAAATTTGTTATAAAATAAAAAATGTTACTAAATTAATGTTAATAAACTTACCAACAAAATCTGCCCGTCAAAATTCGGCGATTCCATCTGCAATGGATTTATCCAAACCGATTCTTCTTCAACGGCTGATCTTTCTGAAGACTCAGATCTTACAGTCTTATTGGATTTCTTCTTTGGCGGATTTTTGCTGGATTGTGACAAGCTCAAACTTGCCTTAGCTTGTTCTATGTTGTCGTGTAGACCAGTGAGTCTTAGACCTTTTCGAAGTCCCGCTCGTCCAAAATCTAAGATACCTTCTACTACACCAGCTGCCTCATCCTAGAATTTTCATTATATTTTTTTATAATAGTAATATGTATAAATAAACTGTGTTGAGAAAAAAAAAGCAAAAGCTATACTCAATTTAGAGACTAGTAACAAAATATGTTTAAAGTAGTAGTTATTTTATTAAAAATAGCCTAAGGATAATTTGGAAAAATTAAAAACAAGTTTAATGTGCCGTTATTACTTCTAAAATTACACTGTTTTCTTATATATTGTTTCTGCGAGACACTCAGAAGAGACGAGTAGCAAAACAGGTTGTAGTATTATTCCTAAAATATTATAATTCATATTCGTGTAACATAGTTTCGCATTTTGTTTATATAAAATATATTTAATAATTTGAATCGAGGACATTCATAAATATACTCTAATTAGAATTTGTAAGTCAGCACTATTACCAATCACGACATATGTTTGGCGTAGGTCATGAACAAACTCTCATCGAGCATCGAGCGTATTGATAATTATGAGGGAGCCTCAGATCAACATCACGTAAGTACTAATTACATTTAAGATAAGTAATTTTAAGTAAAAATGTACAGTAGTGTTTTAAATAAATGGTCACATAATTCAACAACCCGTTAGTTACCATTTACGACGTTATTTACCATAGGGTGATGTGACATTTGAATACAACAGTTTTATTTAAAAATCCTTTATAAAAGGTATATAATTAAAAAGACCCTTTCGGGCTGCACCACAGAATGTTGTCGGACTAAAAAGTCAAAAATCTGTTTATTATTACCAGGTATACATGAAAAAAAAAACTTAAATGCTACAAAATTTGTTGTTACATTATTTTTGAAAACATGTTATGTTAAAGTATTTAACAGATACCCTGCACGGCAACGTACGACTCCTAATAGGGTTATTGCTAACCCCAAGACAATGTCAATAGACTCTTGTCTAGGAGCATTCAGATACAGTTCGGTAGAAAGCATTCACGCAGAATGTTTCGAACTTTCGCTTCATCTAGACAACTTCTACTGCTGTTTTTAGCTAGAGTTTTAGCAAATTCCACAAACCCCACAATAAATCTTATCTATAATAGGCAATTACCAGTAACTAATAATTCTACAATGGTACCTGTAGTATCTGGACACTACACATATGTCATTCCTTATTTAGATAATATCAATCTGTTCTCCACCACCCCTTTCAGGGTCCCTCAAACTCCTCAAATTCAATATCGAATTATCCAAGTATAATAAAAATTAAATATCATCTTCGATTATAAAACAAAGATTCTATGAAATACTACATCAATGCAAATTCGACCTTTACTCAGGCATCTAAGAGTAATGTATTGGCTGTGCTGTTACAACAACTACAATTACTGGCAACCTCTTTCGACTCTCTAGCAATTGCAGTATTTATACTGCTGAACTATATTGAATACTTCTTCTTGTAGTGCCTATTAGTTTCGGATGTTGGCGAAAATCATGGCAATCTGTATCTTGCAAACTGCTGCCCCGAAAAGATTTGTGGTTTTTGTGGATTTTTCAGCCAGGAAATCCTTCGCCTTCCTGTTCCTAGTTTTCCTTCTACTTTTCCTTGTAGAATTAATTGCAGCAACCCATATCTTTCGGTGTTCCTCATGACGTGACCGAGGTATTCGATTTTGGCTGTTTTTATTGTGGTTAACAACTCTTTTTCTTTTTGCATTCTTAATAAAACGTCCTAGTTAGTAACGTGGTCAGTATAGGATGGCTTCAGAATTCGACGATAAAGCCACATTTCGAAAGCCTCAATTTTCTTGCAGGTAGCGTTTGTGAGAGTCCACGACTCAACTCTGTACAGCAGTATAGGAAATATATAACATCGTAGTAACCTGATTTTTATGGGTACTGATAAATCATGACATTTGAATAGCTTAGCCATTTTTTGAAATTAAGTTCTTGCTCCCTCTATCCGATCCTACATTTTATTTCTAGGGAATGGTCCCAATTTTCATTGGCGTTCGTACCAAGGTAGATGTACGTTTTTACTTCTATGTGTTGACCATTCACACTGATTCTTTCAATTTTCTGTTTGTTCTTAGGGATCATCGTACATTTAGTTTTCTTAATGTTCAGTGAAAGTCCATAACTCTGACTCACTTCTGTGATTATATTCATTAACTCATAGAGGGCTTCATAACTGTCAGCGAATAACACCGTGTTATCCACGTGTCTGATGTCATTGATACATTATCCGTTAATTCGAATTCCGGTTTAAACATCCTCCACTGCTTCTTGAAAGATTTCCTCAGAGTATATGCTAAACAGCACGGGTGATAGTATATACTGCCTTTGTATGGATAGACTAATGATTTGCTAATGATTCTTAGATATCGCTTAGATTGCTAATGATTCTTAGATATCGGTGTTTATTCTAATGTTTGTTAATATCTCCTTGTAATTCTTCTATATAGAATACTACAAGCTGTGAAAATTGCACTCAACGGCAATAAAACTATAGGGATCTATCTGATTCTCTATCATCCATGCACTCCATAAGAAACGTACATTCTGTCTACCCAATAGTTCGAGAAATCCAGAGTGTATGTAATAGTCTTCAAACTAATGTAATTACAGTAACAATATTATGGGTCCCACATCACACGTTGGTATTCCAAGTAACGAAACAGCCGATCTAGCAGCAAAACAAGCTTGTTCTCTAAACTTAGCATTAAAGATTCAAACATCATCTTCTTTGGGTGCCGTCTTCTTAGCGAAGGTTGGCGATGACCTCTGCAAAGTCTTCCCTATTTTGGGCTTTCTTTATTAAACTTTGAAAGTCTAATCCTGTCCAATCTTTGATGTTGCGCAGCCAGGTTATTTGTCGTCTATCCGGGCCGCGTCTGCCTTCTATTTTCCCTTCTATAATAATCTGAAGGAAGTTATACCTGTCGTGTCTAAATATGTGTCCAAGATAAAACGTTTTACTCTTCTTGACAATTTCTGTGAGTTCACGTTCTCTATTCATACGCCTTAAAACTTCTTCATTTCTAACGCGGTCGGTCCATAGAATTTTCAGCATACGATGAAATAGTATTTCGGAAATACCCACATCTCAAAGCTATCTAAACGTCGTAACGTGCTGACTGTTAACGTCCAAGCTTCTACGCCGTGTAATAGTACACTATATACATAACACTTTAGCATTCGGTATCGTAGGGACAAATCAATATTACGGGTAGTGAGTAACTGTCGCATCTTTAAGGTGTTTCTTGCCTGTTCTATTCTACATTTAACCTCTTGTTCTTGGTCTAAGGTTTCATGTATCCCACAGCCTACAAGCTTAAACTTTTTCACTTGTTCAACTAGATTGTTGTTGACTAGTATGTTTATAACTGGTGTGTTTTTTTTTTAAATTACCATTGTTGTGGTTTTTTTACATTCACCTTAAGGCCGTATAGTTCTCCTCCTCGCACATCTTTGGTTAACAGAATTTGTAGTTCTTCTTCAATCAGTACTGTATCATCGGCATACCTGATATTGCTCACGATTTTTCCATTGACTTTTATTCCTTCTTGTGTTTCATCCAGATGATGTGCAAAGATGTCCTCTGAGTACAAGTTGAATAATAATGGTGATAGTCTACAACCTTGTCTAACTCCTCTTTGGATGTTTATGGTTTCAATATCACCCATTTCAGTTCTGACAGAGGCGTTTTGGTTCCAGTAGAGTTCACGTATTATATTAATGTCGTTTGGATCCAGGTTCTTTTTCTCCAAGCAGTCTATTAGCTGATCGTGTTTGACTTTGTCATAAGCCTTTTCATAATATATAAAGAACAAGTAGACATATTTTTGTTGATCCCGGCACTTTTGCATAAGAACAATAAAACTGAACAAAACTTCTCGAGTTCTCATACCATTTCGCATGCCAAATTGTTCCGGGCCCATATCTTTTTCGCATTATTTGTAAATTTTGTCATGGATAATTTTTAGAAATAGCATCAATAACATCATCAGATCTAAAAAGAACACTCAAACAAAAAATAATGGGCCTTTGGAATGATCATTGGAAAAGAAACAATACCCAGTTAAGCGTTCTCCAACCGAACATTGTCTACCACCAGCTCCCACCAATGAAAAGAAAAGATAAATCTGTCATTGAGAGATTAAGAATAGGACACACGAGGCTTACACATGGACACCTAATGAATTCCAGCAATCAGATTTTGTGCCACTACTGCAATACAACTTCCGTGAAACACTTACTTCTAGACTGTCAACACTACGCAACGCCCAGAAGTAAATACAATCTTGACAAAAACAACCTAAAAGACATTTTTATCTCAAACAGCAGCAACTATAAAAATGTATTCAAAAACAAAAAGCTATATAATTTAATTAACAAAAATGTATTCCAAAAACTGTACTGTAGCTATTATTATCCCCACTATTGTTATATTGTCAATATAAATTGTACTTGAGTCAATGACAACTAGTCGAGACACATATTTCCAAATAAAAAAAAATCGTGCCATTATAAAGGGGGCAATACTAAACGAGACTACAATGAACCGATCGAATTCATGCAGTTATCCGTAGCACAGTTTACCAAATTGATCAAGTAGGTATATCTCCTGTAATAATTATGAGTGGTTAAAATTACTTCCAATGCATTTTTACTAACAGGTACTGGACAAACCAATAAAGGAAACAGTGTAATCACGGATATACATGGTGTGTTGTTAGAAGTAATATATTGATAACTAATAAACTAGTTGTGTGAGTTTGTAAAAATATATTTCAGTAAAATTTATTGTTTATACTGTGCATTTAATAAACTAAATAAAACTCCAAGCATTAATAAAGAACTTATGTTTCTATCTACTGAAGAAAGTAAACGTACAAAAAAATGCAAACATGCAAAAATAGTCAATTTAGTCGTCAATTTCATCTATTAAAATTTAAAAATTTTATTAGTCGTGGTTTGGCAATATCTACGTTACTAACAGATAAAATGAAAGAAACACCGAGAAATCGCCAAATTTAACTAGGTACCATTGATTTATTGTTATGGGGACACTTGAAAAATAAAGTGTACCAAAATAGACAACAAACTATTAAAGAACGGATACTGATTGAAATGGCACAAATAACTTCGAAAATTATGGGGAAAGTTCTAGAAGAGTTTGCTGGCTGTCTTTTTCATTGTATTTAAGATGCGGGCCATTAATTTAAGCATATATTTTATTATAATTTTGTAGTTAATCCATTAACAGCCGAAGGTGCGTCTACGCACCCTTTTCATTTTTATTTTTTTTACATATTGCTAAAATACTTAGTACTCTGACAAGTATTCACAAATATTCTAGCATGTTTTTTATCTTTTTAACCATATGTACTTGCTTTTAGATAAAAAAAAATAAAAGATGTTATCAACGTCTGTTTGTCTTGCAATTTTTAGAAGGCTCAGATTATAAGCGCAGAAATTTGAATTGTGTTTCGAAACTATTTTACGGATTTTGTAGTTAGATGTCGCTATCGCGTCCGTATTGAAGCCATTTTATCGTTGCTTCTTAAAAGACAGAAAATATTGATTTTTCACGTTGAGAACACCTATGAATAGCTGTTCTGATGAGACCTATTAGGTCGAAATGCGTATAAACAGATACATAGGGATTGTTTGCGTGAAATCGAATATTTGCTGTCTTTTTCATTTTATTTCGGATATACTCTGTGTGAGTACTAGAAGCACAATTCGCTAAGGATTTCTGCTTAGTTGTAAAAGATATGTCATGGAATGCAAATTTTAGATTCCCCATGTCCCTTTTAACATCTTTTATCAACGTCTGTTTGCCTTGCAATTTTTAGAATGCTCAGATTATAAGCAGAAATCTGAATTGTGTTTCGAACCTATTTTACGGATTTAATAAATTAATCCTTTAATTTGCACCACACTATATTTAATAACAAAACTTAACTCAATACAAAAACATATTGAATATAAAGAGCGATCTTGAAAGTCATACACAACTGTCTTAACGACGGGGGTCCACATAATAACTGGAATATTTCCACTACACCTACTGATAAAGAAAACAGCAATACCAAACAAAACGGGAAGAGGACACCCTCAACAGGTCCGAATAAATGGGACATAACAATGAAAGAGCATGGAAAGGAGTGCTGCTGACAAATCCGACTCCCAAGTTTGGCTTAGCTCATAAAAATACCAAATATGCTGAATTGCTGAACAACATCACAGAAATAATAAAGAACAAGGAATTATAATTAAGCAGGCAGCAGTCTAAGGGGTTATGGCAGGGCTCCACAGAGAGGGAATATGCGGGCATGTCAACATTACTTGGGCTATCTTACTAGGTCGGTTTAGCCACCTCAGAAAAATAAATACACTCATATAGACAATTAAATATGTATTATCTTTAAGTCACATTCGAATTATGCTTTTGCTTTATAAGCTTGAGAACTTGATTAATCTTTCCCTACAGTATTTGATGGTGGTAGAATATGTTATTATTTTAATATAATTTCAAGTTTATGATGTAATTTTATAAAAATTACCGTCTATAAACAATTTAATTCCATCGTTAAATATATTTCCTTTAATAAACTAGTCATATATAGATTTAAAATTCATTTTTTAGTTTATGTCACTCATAAAAATGTGCTACTTTACACTATTACATAACTTATGTATTAGAGAATTTACTAATCAATCCGATAACATTAGAAAACTCACTAAGCTATTAACTTGTTATAAAAAATTATATTATATAGGCAAATTTGTAGCTGTAAATTTATGCAATAATAAAAATTTAACGCTATAACTATATTTTTAGGAACAATATTAATTAAAAGCTAAGAATTGAAATAAAAATGCTAAAAGCAATGTATAAAAATAAAAAGGAAAATCCATGCAGATCATACCTTTTGCTGTTAAACAGGGATGTTTATGAGATGTGTGAATGTGAAGTTTTTGGAAAGAGACAAGAAAGTCATTTATTATAAATCAGTTTGTAAATATTTTAAATTTTTACCTGAAAGTCACCTATTTTGTGTAAAGCATTATTCATAGTAGACTCTTGAAGATCTTTGATGTTATGCAGAGTATGTACAGTTGCATCACCTGCAATAAAAATCAATAAATATAAAATATTGAATTATTTTTCTGTTTTGTATTTACAAATTCCTTAGGCCTGATTTAATTCACCGCATAATTGGGAATAGTGGAATTACGTATTTATTTCCACACAAAAATATTCATAAAGCCACGTGGCAATCACCAGAGTGCCAGACAAAAAGCAAATTGACTATTTACTTACTGATAGTTAAAATTTCCCCGATACATTCGACGTAAGAGCATGTAGAGGTGCATACAAGAACACTTGACTAAATGTAAAGAACATATGTACACATCGGCTAAAGGCGTCTTAAAATGACTGGCATAACAAGGCTAGAAGAAACAAAGATTGGATCTACTAACAAAAAAAAAGAGACTCCAGTAGCGCAGAACGAGATTAACTCTAAAAGATTATTAAAACCTTCGACAAGAAGAAAATAGAAAGTTTAAAAGGACAAAGAAAGAGAAAACGTTCTAAACGAGATTGTTAACGACCATAACAGAAAAAACTTTCGGAGATTCTACCAACAGATAAACAAATGCAGAAATTAATTCAAAGTCAAGGTCAAGTTCAGGAGGCTAGAAGCCTCCCCTAGCTGAGGACCTTGACCCAGACACAGAGATACGTAGCAGAACTGAACATGCAAGAGCAACATTTACGAATATGAGAACTCTGTTTAGCAACAAGAGTTTTAATTTAACGGTACGGTACCGTCTTGTGAAATTCTACATTTACTCAGCGCTACTGTATGAGATAAAGACTTGGACAATAAAAGCTAACGTCAAGAATTTCCTTGAGACCTTCGAAATGTGGGTGTTCAGGAGAATCTCTAAAATTCCCTGAACGGATCATATAACCAACGCCGAAGTATTAAGCAGAATAGGGAGAGAAAGAGAACTGCTGCAAATAATACAGCGAAGAAAAGCAGCCTAAATGGATCACATATTTAGGAATTCCAAGTACCAATTTTTAAAATTAATTATGAAAGGAAATAATGAAGGAAAATTAGGCATGGGCAGAAAGAAACACTCGTGTCTAACAATTTTAAGGGAATGGACAAACCTCGACGCCCATGCACTTTTCCATCCATTCCCCAGCCTCTTTTGGTACAAGAATTGACCAGGAACTAACAAACAAGGAAGAGGAGTAACGCAACCTCAGTCATTGGAAAACTTGATATTAGGACTTGATCCTCATACAAGACATTCTCCAGAAGAAAAGATTATCCACTGAAAAGTAGGCACGTAAATCGCGAAGCTTAGCAAAAATTAAACCAGTGCCAAAATGCCCAGCGAGTAAGCGTAAGCAGTTTCAAGAGGAGAGGTTTCAAGTATATGCTAAAGCAAGTCTTCGATCCAAAATGTCTCGAAAACAGGCTCTAAAACCCATCTGAAAGCCACAAAGATAAATGTAAATGTACTTAAAAGATCTACTACTAGAACAAATGAGCCCTTTATTTAAAATCTAGTAACGTAGAAGTGTATCCTTTCGACACATAAAACAATGTGTCGAAGAATAAAAAAAATATTATAAATGAATAATTAATTATTTTTTTCTAGTCTCTTACTAGTAAATTGTATATTACCTACTATTTGGATGCTAAGTAAATGCATCATAACAGATACTGACACGTAATAACTAGCACGTAATAAAAAAAATTACGCCTCAGTTTTATAAAAAGGTGTAATATCACATAAGCCTCGTAAGTCAGTTGGTCGAGTTACCATGGAAACGAATTAACAGACGTTATTTTGACAGATTAAAAATTATTAATCTGTCAGTGTAAATATAGTGGTAATTTAATTTTTATTTTTATAAACGAAAATAATCGTAGAAAAAGTATAGTACACAACTTGAGTTGTAAGCTTATTACATGCTTGTAAAATTACTGCGCTCCCCGATACGCGGCTCGCGCGCACCTTTTTTACTCGCATGTAATAAGCTTCTTACAACTCTCGTTATGTAATATACTATTAATTTTAGAACGAAAATTCTTAATCGGGCATGTATGAATGTGATGTATTACATATCTGAATCATGTGCTTTATACATAAAAAATTCAAAGGATTTTATATATTCAATAGTTCTATACTGTAAAGTAGTATTTACATAAACTTACTTATAGGCTTAATGGAACTTTTAAGGCCTTCCATAGTAGACTGAGTCGTTTGTTTCACTTCACTTAGTAACAGATTAGCCGAGTCTTCGACGTGTTCCATTTTACCTAAACGAAAAAAAGAATTCTATTTATTAAAAAAGAGAGATTATTTTACACTAGATACTTGTAAGGTTAATAAGTAGGATAAGTCTAATAGACAATAAGCAGTACGGCTTTATGTGGTAATCTTATTAAAATAAGCTACCTTTAGTGTTGTTAAAATTTCGAAATTTTACAAAAAAAAATTGCTCAAAACGCACAAATAGAATGAGAAGAGAAATAATGACAATGATAAAATCAGTCCTGCGGAATAAACCAGTGCACAGGAGTAAAAAAAAAAGACCATGACAAAAATGAAGTAATAATATTTTGGGTTTGGACCGTTTGTTATTGGATAACCCGTGTATGGATCCGCCTGAACCTTTCGATACTCATAGGTAGTTACTTCAACGGCAGAAACGTGTTATTGGTCACGGTAACTTAAATACTCAACGTACTTATGTAGCTGGTCGTTCGGGTCGACGACCATTATTGCGTACCTTCGAATGTTGGGAGGCTGCTGTTATCACACGTTCTGGTGGACATGTGGATTACAGATCTTCTTCTTCTTCTGGTTCCTATCCGTTTCGGATGTTGGAAATCATATTGGCAATCATAACCTTGCTCGCTGCGGCTCGAAACAGCTCCGTTGAGGTTTTCTTAAACCATGTTCTTAAATTCCGCAGCCATGATATTCTCCTTCTACCGGGTCCTCGCTTACCTTTGACTTTACCTTGCAATATAGACTGTAGCAGGGAGTAACGGTGCTCATTTCTCATAACGTGTCCCAGATATTGCAATTTTATGCGTTTGATTGTAAACACAATCTCTGGTTCCTTCTTCATTTTTCCTAGAACTTCCTTGTTCGTGATCCTTGCTGTCCATGATATTTTCAACATTCTTCTATAAAGCCACATCTCAAATGCTTCAAGTTTTTTAATAGTGGTGTCTGTAAGCGTCCATGCCTCCGCCCCGTACAACAACACAGAGAAAACATAGCATCTCAAAGGATTACAGATAGGAAATAATATCTAGCCTTACTTTCTGTGTATATTCACAGTGACGGTGTTCTGGGAGCAAAGAAGATCTATGCCTTTCGACAGATCGACCAGTGTATGTTTGACCACATGAACTGGGAATAGAAGAATACAACACAAGAAAAGAAAAGCGCTGGTGGGAGAAATTCGAAAATTTTCCTGAATGATCATAGTGGTTCTTATGACTTCTTTGCGAACAATATTTCTTATTGTGGCTGCGACAGCCACTAGGAGAAGGAGTAAGATCAAAGTTAGATGCATGTGGATGTTTAGGATTTACATGCCAAACATATAAGAAAAACAAAGGAATAACACCTGCTTTCAGACTAAATGCTTTATATTAAGAATAACAAGAGAGCCAAAAGAAAAAGCATTTACAGTGGTGTATACAAACTTTAATGTGGCGCCTGCCCAAAAACTAACATCGGTCAAACTGGTAGAACTTTTAAACGTATAACAGAACACAAACGGGCTTTCAATAATATAAAAACAGATTCAACATACGCACTTAATCTTCTAGACCTTAACCATTCTTATAATGACCAATTTTAAATTCTTCACATTCAAAATAAATAACCTTAAGCTATCTTTATTAGAATCTATGGAAATTAATAAATTAAAGAATACAGATATAATTCTTAATGACCAAATTAAGACAAACAGTTCTTCCATCCTCAACTGATTCAGTTAAAGACTATAAAATGTAAACATATACCAAAAATAGATCACTTAAAAAAGTACCTTTGTCGAAACAGCTGTAGTGACAATAATTTAAAATAAATTTTGTTGAAAGTTTTGAAAACAAAAGTTTTCAATGCTTTATTGTTAGATATCATATAAATATGTGTTTTCTAATAGGTTTAAATATTTCTATATAAATTACTCACTTTTCATATTTTCCATTGTGAGGGGTAGAGCGTCCAAAGGGTCTTGCCCCAATGATATGCCAAATGCCAAGTCTCTAGTGTCTGCGTAAGTCTTTGTACTTCTTGTTAACCTAGGCTCATGGATTTTTACAGGTGCACTGGGAGGCGGCTTCTCAGTTCGCACATGTTCTTCTTTTACTTCTTCTGCACTGTCGACTTTCTAAAATCAAAAATAAATTTATCATATTTATGATTTAAGATAAATATTATTTATTTGACATGATTTTTCTAACAACCCTAAGTAAGTTGCCATTATGTGTTTACTGCAAAGACAGCTGACTACTAGCAGTTAATAATCAACGTTATCATATATAGGTATATATATATATATATATATATATATATATATATATATATATATATATATATATATATATATATATTATTGTGATATTTAAAGTCTTGGTGCGCCAAGCAATTAATTAGCTAATTAATTAATTAATTAAATAAAATTATTTAAATGATATGATTATGACTCTATCACACTTTTTAATTATCTTATCTCAGGGTTAAATTCGTGCTTCAATATCTATGCTATTACATATAAAAGGTAAGGTCCAAAGAATACCGGAATAATAAAAACATATAGGAACTAAACATTATATATTGAAATAAAATAATTAAATAAAATTCACACATATAAATATTAAATTGAGATTAAAACTTGTAAAATGTTTTATCTGGTCTGTTCTTCTCTACGGAGTCGAAACGTGGACTTTAAAAATAAAGAGCCTGAATAGAATCGAGGCATTTGAAATGTGGGTGTACCGTAGAATTTTAAAAATTCCTTGGACAGCACGAAAAACAAATGAAGAAGTACTAGCTAGACTCAATTTAGAAAAAGATCTATTGAGAACAGTCAAAAGAAGAAAAACCAGTTATTTAGGGCATTTGTTGCGCAACGAGAAATACTACATCCCGCAGTTGATAATAAAAGGCAAAATAGAAGGAAAGCGAGGAATTGGAAGAAAAAAATTGTCCTGGTTACGCAATATCAGAAACTGGACAGGACTTGGATTTGAGGAACTCTTAAGAGCAGCTGAAGATAGACAAACGTTTGCCACCATACCCGCTAACCTCCATTGATGGAGACGGCACTTGAAGAAGAAGAAAATTCACACTCCAAAATTTTCAATAAACAAAATCTCATACAATGATTCTCAAAATTTGTTCTACGTACGTGAATCTTCAAAATTACTGGTACAAACCATATAAGTTGAAATCTCAAAATCCAAATATTATTCCAAATCTAGTAATCAAAATATTTATATCCTTTCTAAATTAAGTGTAAAAATTGTGTTATCAATAAAAGAAAACTGCAGAAAACAAAACTATCTCTCTCTGATGATGAGTGGTCCAAATCCTTGTTCTTTGTAGCCTATATTATCTACTCTCAGCCGCTCCTTAGGTAATCAGCAATATCACAACAAATTATTGCAAGTTTATCGTCCTTAATGATCTCCTTCAAATGCACGAATCGTTCAAATTATGCTAGCTTCTTCTTCTCTCAATAAACTGAATCTCTCGTTGGCCTGAGTTAAAAATGACGCTTGGAATATCTTTTCTTTACGATAAACTGAATCTCTCGTTGGCCTGAACAGTGACTCTTGGAATATAAGTAGAAAATATAACTTACAATCTTTTACTGGATCAGCTTCTGTCAGATACACTAACTACACGAAAATTCACAAACTTTCACTGCTACTGCTTCCTACCTCTGGGAAACTACCCGAGAGCAACGGCCGTTCGCCTTGCACCCTTGGAAACCAACTGACTATCTTTTCTCTCTCAACAATCTAGCTAAACTTTCATTCCTACATACCTATCCCACCTTTTTCAATCTCCGCCAATCAAAGCTCGTCACAATTCTCCCATTTTTTCATTTCGATAAAAAACAAAATTTTACCTATAACTATAAAATTTCCTAAAACTTATTTACAAATAATATTTTTCTACAATTCTTAAAAACTAACAAAAACCTCTTTCTAAAATCTATTCTATTGTCCTTAATCACTGCATTAATGTATTTGGAAAACCCGGTTCAATTGTCTTTGGATTTCACTTAAAATTATGCGGGTCACTCAAGTATATTATAACAAAGAAAATAATTTATGCATAGCTTACATTTTGTTTAATACAGGTAATCCAAAAAATTTAAAGACTTTCCTTTTTCGAAATGTTTGTTGGTTATTATCCTACTTATCTAAATTATTTTAATGTTTTTGAACATTGAAATATTTTAAACAAACCAATATTTTTCTCGATTTTACATATCATAACAATATATATATATATATATATATATATATATATATATATATTATATATATATATATATATATAACTGTTTTGGATGGGTTGGAGTCAATACTCGAGTTTTCCAATGTGTTTACAATTATTATCAAGAGCTGCTAAACAATACAAAATATCTTACAAAGTTGAACTAGAAAGAAAAAAATGTTGTTAACTCACCAAATAAAATTAGTTTGGTACCTATATAAAAATGCTGCTAACATATTTAAAAAAATATTAATATAAAAATGTTCTAATCTAATAAATGCTTCACTGAAATTTTAATATAATTCTGAAAAAGTTTCTTAACACAAAAACAATTGAGTTTGTAAATAAATTTGAATAGTGACAATTACAAATAAGCCACAATGTCATGAATACCAACTTAAAATTTTTATTTTTGACAATTATATTGCCAAAAATAAAATTTTGTTTAAAAGTTCCTCTTTGTTTAGTAACAACAAAGAAGATTTATTCACCATTGATAGATGGCTGAAAAAATGTAACAAATACATGGAAAATTGAATCAAAATGTGATATTTTACTGATTTCATATATAAACTACATAGAAATAATATAATTATAAATTTTGCTTAGATTTTGAATTTCTGACCTTTTGTTTAAATTATTATCACTTTTGCTAATACAAACCGTTTCCAAAAAAGTTCTTTTGAATTTATTACTTTCACTACATAAAATTTTAATATTATCAAAATCCATAATATGGTCTTTGTCAATTACATGCTCTGCCAAAGCACAAGATGGTTTCTTAATTATTCTGCAATCACTTTTGTGAGAAATAATGCGATAATAATATGATAATGATAATAATACATAAAGAAGTCAATGATCATTTTTTAAATAAATACTATTTACAAACTAAACTTTTTCTTAAAAACCATCCAGAAATTTACATTGTCAAAAGCGATAACGGTAACGTAACTGTTGTAATGTATAAAGCGGATTACCTACAAAAAAACTGGAAAACTCTTAAATGATACTAAGTATTACACTACAATTAGATTATTACAGTTTACATTTTACAATTACTAAGTATTACACTACAATTAGAAGGAGTCCTGTTTGTACTTTGCAACAAAAAGTAAATTGTCTAGTATCTAAATTAAACAGTAGGAAATTTATTGATAATAAAAAAGGAAAAGAACTCAAAATTTATAATTCTATTGCACCACGGTTTTATGCTCTACCTAAAATACATAAACCAACTTTATCAACTCGAGTAAACACAATTGAAAGCTCGAGTAAAAAATAGTTAACAAATAGCCCCTTTTATTGACTCCAACCCATCCAAAAAAGTTTTATATTTTTTCCAAACGAGTCAGAAGTACTTCTTTTTATATACAGGGTGGTCCTTAAGTAAGTGTTCAAACAGAAACCGTCGATTCTTTACTTTAAAATATTGCGATTTACGCCAACTTGCTTTAATAAAATTTTGACATTAAGACATTAAGAAAGATATAGGATGTTAAAAAGGAAATTTAAAATTTTATTTTTCGCAATAACTAAATATTTATGGACAAAAATTTACAAATGGATGTTTTTGAGTAGGAAAAATTATAATTTTATACATACTTTAATGAAAATGATAGAGAGCGCCACATATGCCACATGTGTGGCATAAATTTGCACTTAAATTTTTTGCTCTTTACTTTAGCTCTATTTGTGTTAAAAAATATTCCATAATAAGATACATTATTTTTACAAAGAAAAGGTATACTTGTTAGTAACGTCAAAATTCAACCTTTTTCGAGATAATCGCATTTTATAAGTCAGCTGCATAATAATTCTTAGTTGCGATATTTGTGCGGTAAAGCACTGAATGCCTGTAGATAAACATAATTAATAGTTTATTCTTATTAAAACAACTCAAATATAATAAGTTTACATCACAAAATGCTTTGTTATGGCTGTTAAATGTCCTATTCTAGAAAAGCTTTTATCTTCTTCTTTAGGTGCCGTGTCCGTATGCAGATGTTGGCCGTCATCATGTCTACAATTTACCTTTTCTATCGCTTCTTAAGTTTCGATACTGGCGTTGTATTACTTTTTCTCTATTGTAAAATGCTGAAAACTCAAAATATGTGGTTTATGCAAGATGGTACACCAACACATTCTAGAGAGAGGGCAGTGTGAACATACTTAAATACAACTTTTCTGAACGTTGGATTGGTCGTGGTAGTCATATTCCTTGGCAATGTGGTGAGATATTATTTAATTCATAAAAAATCCCAAAAGAAGACTTATTATTCATAACGTAATTTATTTACCCATTTTTATTAGAACAATTAGAAACTAGAGGACAGGTAATTGAATAACACATATGTGTCTTGTTTCATAATGCTTTTGCTACAAATCTAACCTTAAAGACTCAACATTTTTACAAAAACATCATGCCCTAATAACCGATGTTGTTATAAATATAGTAAACACACAGGCAATTTAGTTCAGAAATATATATCAGTTAGTTAGCAAATCATAATAGTCCATTGGTTCGAGATGTAATTAAAGTTACTCATAAGCTGTAACGTAATCAAATAAATACGTAATGTCATCGATAGGATATTCCGTGTGTATATAAGTAACCAATGAACGAAATCACAGTTTAATACATTATTCAACCTCTGCGACAAATAAGATGTGGTTTCATAATATACCATAAGATTTGGATATGTATTTAAAAGAATATATTCATCTATTATACATTATAGCCACCACGTAGCCCAGAATTTAATCCGCTTGATTTTGGTGTATGGGGCGCATTAAAACAACGTGTCTATAAGAATCCCATAAACATTCGCAACCAAATATGGGAAGAAATAAATACTGCAGCAGTTTCTTTAGAACCAA